AGGAACATCAACAAAATTGATGCCCAAAAAATTTGGGTGGAAAAACAGGGGCCAAATCATTTATAGCAAGGAAAAAAGGTTGTGCTTAGAACACCCCTGGGGACCCCCCCTTCACTTGGAGAAGCCCGGGAAAGAACATTATTGATCAACCCCGGAAAATTCTGTCATTTAAAAATTTCAAAGGGAAAGGGAGGGTTGCCTCGGGGGCCTAAGGAAGGGGCCTGGGCCAAAATATTATACCCCCAAGTTTTCATATCCCTTTCTAAAGGTAAAAAAAATATGAAAAACTGGTGTTTTATTCGAAAGGGCTTTACAACATCGTACCAAGCGAGTAAGGGGTCTATGGTAGAACGCCCTTACGAAAGCCATATTGACTAGCGGAGAGACTGTTGTGAGTTTTAAAATACCACTTTAAAAACGTCGATTACGGGGCTTTCCACACTTTGCAAATGCATTTGTAAGAGGGGGGGGGCGATGGGGAGGCATCATGCCTGTAGTACCCGGGTTTGGGGAAGGGGAGAACAATGGCGTTTTCCCCACAGCTGGGGAAAAAACCTTGTGCCCAAAAAGATTGAAGGGGTGTAAGAGGACAAAAGGGGTGACCGTTAAAGTTGAACATACAAATATAAATGTCATCGGGCCCCAGCTCGTGTCGGGCAACGAAGCGTTGCCTCCAGTTCTTGAAGTGAAAAGGCACATTTACTGTTTTCCCCGGAGAAGAAAGTCAAGGTACTAACTCCTGGCAACTTTGAGGAAAGAAACGGGGGGTTAGATGGAGCCCTCGGGAAATAGGACCAATGTTGCCAATTTCAATGGCAACGTCGAAGGGTTTGCATATAAACCCAGTGACCCTAAACAGGACCTCAGGAGAGTATTTCCCACTCAATTTCCTCACTTTTTCCAGACTGCACCAAGAAGAAGCGAGGTGATGGGGGGAAAATAGTCTCCCAACAAGTGCTTTTTAGCTTCAGGGATGCCGGGCGAGGATCGACGCTTTGCTTAAAATAAACAATTCCTCAGGGTTTATTTACCGGTCCCGGGCCCCCTGAGCCTTTAAAAAACGTACTGCACGAGCACAACGGGAGCCACCAAGGCACGCATTTCTGAAAATCCTGCCTAGGTTTGGGTATAGAATGAGAACCCGGGAAAAAAGATGTCGAGAAGATGTGAGGCTCTCAATGGAGGTGAAAAAGGGAAACCTCCTAAAAATTGGGGTGTAGAAAAAAAAGATCCCAATTTCCCCGATAAATTGCCAGGGGGGCTACGGGAAGGGGGTGAATAGGAAGGGAAGTAAGAATGATGGGAAAATGATGCTGTCATGAAAGTCGGGTAAACAGCCGGGTGAATCTAGGCATGGGGGAAAGAGAAAGATGAAAATCATCCCAAGAGAGAGATGAAAAGGGGATCAAAATGGTGGAGCCCCGTATTAAAAAAGGAGGGGGTGAGGGGAAAGAAAAGCCTCCAACTGAAGCCCGTGAGTCACAAAGACCCCCCCCAGGGGAAAATGGGGGCTTTAAAACACCAAGAAACAAATGGGGGTGGAAAGGGGAAAAACAAAAAGGGAAAAATTGGGATAGAAAATGCTCAAAAGGAGAGAGAATAAAAAAACATATTGAAACCCATTTTTAAAGTGGATCGGGCTGCAGTGAATGCAGCGGGGGTAGAAAAATAGTTGACAGTAGGAATATCTTGCTAAAAGAAGGGCTTTTTCAAAAAGGTCCCATCGGGAAAGGACCGAAGAAATACAATAAATATAGCCGGAATAGGTTGAAAACAGCCATTTTTTTTTTTTTTTTTTTTTTCTTTAAGCAAGCACCAACAGGGGGAAAAACCCGGAAAGCAACATTTAAGCTCACCCCGATTACCCAGGCCCCGGGTATTCCACTGTAAATAGGGAGATTGGGATGAAGAAAAACAGGGAAACCTTTGGTAAAGGGGACCTACGGAAAGGGGTTAAAAAGTCAAGTGTGGGGGATTGGAAGTGTTCAAGTACGAAGGAAAGGGCGTTGCAGAATGGGTTTGGGAAAAGAGGAGAGGGAAGAAAGGAACAGGAAGTGAAACAGTGTCCATTGAAGGGTTTTGCTCTGCAATATATTCTGAAAAAGGGTTAAGTGGTTTTGAATTCAAAAATGTATGGGAAACCATTTGGGATAGGAGGAGGGGGTGGTAAAGATTGGGACGTAATGGACTACCAAAGTAGAGGGGGAGGGGAAAAATGAAGGGGCTGGGGAAGAAGTGTGGGGGGGGACAGAAGAGGTAAAACCTGGGGGACAGAAGAGGGAGAAACTTGGAGGGAGGGGGGGGAAGGCATGTACGAGGAGGGGGGTAATCTCCCCACTTTTAAAAGAGCCAGAAGAGGGGAAGAACAGGTACAGAGACGAAAAGGGAAGTGTGGAGGTGGAAGAAGGGAAAAGGGGGAAAGAAGATTTTTACAATGGGATTTTTTGGACTTTGGGAAGGGGGGGATTGGGGATTGGTGTCGACAGTCTTGTCATACCGGGGCTTGTGAGGAAGGGCGCAAATTAGAACAGCGAGTTGGAGTCGGAGTCAGAGCCAAGGGCAGCAAAAAAATTAATGCCTATGGGTATGGGAGGGGGAACAAAAGAGGAGGTGCAAGATGGGACCCCAGAAATGGGGGGGTTTTGGAAAAACCCAAATAAAAACAGGGGGAGTTCCCCTTGGGGCGGGGATGAGTAAACCCCTAGCATAAGGGAATTCGCCTCTTTGAGGCAACGGGTTTTCACTTCATTTAAGTAGACCTGGGAACGGGGGAGTAGAAGGGGACTTCATTTCAATTAAGGCAAGATGGAGGGGACTGCAAATGTATTGAAAGGTTGCGGCACCACAGACTGGGCATTCGGCCATGATCTGCAAAATTTTGCTGGGGGACAAAAAAGCCAGCAATTTCTACATTTTTGCGGTGTAGGATCACCTTTCGAAAATTGTAACCCATGTCCCCGCATATACAGAGGGGGAGTTTTTTCGGCGTCAAAAGTTAAAAGACCACATGCAAGGGTAACGTCTCCCCCCCCCCCCGGGAGGGAAAACATAAGTGTCTCTTTGGGGATTGGGAGATCCTGGGGTTCCCCTGTTTTAAAAATGTCATTTCCCATACTGGAAATTTGTTGGGCATGGTATGGGGCAAAACGTACCCTACAAAATGAGAGAAAGATTTTTTCAAAAAGGATAGGAGTATATCGATACGAAAGAGAGAAAGACTGGCTTGGGTACATTCTGGGCCCGTGACGTGCGGTACCCTCTTGAAGCGTGAAATGAAATTCTCTGCCAAAATGACGCAGGAGCGTTTTTGGGAATACTATGGTCAAAAATTTGGAGAAAAGGTTGGCTTAAAGTAAAGAAATTTAGTCCATTGTGTGGTCCAAATGACGGGAGGGGAGTGCTTGACGTGTCGGTCTTTCCAAATAGAATGGGAAGGTAACGAGGGCATCTCAGGAATTGACGTTGGGGTTTAGGATAGGACCCGGGGTTGGGCCGCAGGGGAAAAGGGTGGGCGATTTGAAAATTGCCGTACCGTAGAGGGAGAAGCCGGAAGATATCAAAGGAGCGAGTTAACAAATCGAAAGGGGGTGCGAAGCCCCCGGCCTAAGCGGTGGAAACGCACCAGCAAAGGTTTCGGGGCATCAAGGGCCGAAGAGTGGTCCCAAACACAAGGCAGGGTCGAATGGGGTGCGGTATAAGAGGGGCCCCCGGGGTGTGGTTTTTATGGATAGGGCGCCATGGTTAGGTTACTCCCTTTTCTTTTTTTTTAAGAAAAAAAAAAAAAGAGAAAAGAAAAAAAAAAAAAAAGAATAAAAAAAGGGGGGAGGGGGGGGAATATTTCCCCCGGGGGAAAAAAGGGCCGGAAATCCCCCTCCGCGCCCAAGAGGACCCACACCGCTAGTAGCGCAGATGCAGCTGGAACCCCTCCATACCCTACCCCTTTATGCCATAAACCAGCAATCGGGAAGACCTACATCTGGAGCTACCTCGGTGGGGGCAAAAAAGGGGGGCGGCCATATCCCCACAAAGCTACCTCCTTCACCCCCACCCCCCCGGAAACCCAAAAGGGGGCTTCCGAGATACACCCCTCCCCCCAAAAAACACCCAAAGCCCCCCCGGGATACCCGGGGAGGGATCGGGGCATCCCAGGCAATCCAGATTCCACGGCAAACTACGCCACCCCAAAAAACCCCCCAAAGGAATGGGATGGGGGCCCCCCTTCCTTTTCCCCACCCCGGAACTAGGGGGCCCGTGGGAGAAAACACGAAGGTAAAAAAAGGAGGGCAAAAGGGAGGGGTGAGGAGGAGGAGGGGAAAAGGGAAAAAGGGGGGGGGGGGGAGGGGGGGATAGGGGAGGGGGGAAGGGGGGTAAATTTGGTTCGGTCTGAGAAGAAACCCCAGGCTAAATTCCTCAACCAAGAGCCCTTTACCCGCCAAGGAGCCCCCCTGAAAGGGGGGCCCACGTAACCCCAAATAAATTGAAAATCCCATGAAGGTTTTCCATGGATAAGTATTATAAATTTAGAAATGTCCCCAATTAAATTTATTATTTTTTTTCATTTATCAAAATCCTTAAAAATTCTTATTTTTTAAAATAATTTTTTTTAGGATAATTCCTTATTGTGTAAAATATAGCCCCTACTATTTTAAAAATTGTTTAATTTAAATTAAATAAACTTTTAAAAAAAAACAGTACATTTTCTGTAAATAAATTTAAAATCCCCCCAAATAAAAAAAAAGTGAAAAACTCAAAAAAAAAAGAAAAAGTTGAGGATTTTACAAATTTTTAAGATGGTTTCAAAAAAAACAAATAATTCCATATTTATTAATATAATGAAAATTGGTTATTTAAATTTATTATTGGATATTACAGAAAAACTTAAAAAGTAATTAGGTATTTTTAAAATAAGATTTTTTTATGACGTATAAATAACAATGTAATATATAATATTGCTCATCTTAATAATTGTAAGAAGAACATGTGTTGTGTTTTAGCAAAAGTTGTATTTTTTTTTTTTTTTTTTTTTTGCAAAATATTTTGAGAATGTTCTCATCATGCTTTTAATAAAAATTATCTGCAAAAACTGACTAGCTTGAGAAGATATCACTAGTGTATTTTCTTTTTTTCTTTTATTTACATTAGACAAGATACAAATACTGAAACTATAATGGAAAACTAAATTGCCTACCATTAATAGGAAAGAAAGAGCTAAATAAATTAAATGATTAGTTATCATACAATTTTATATGAAAATGCCAGTTTTCGCAAATGCATCACTTAATCTTGACCTATAATATAACTTAGCAATATACCCTGCAAAAAAAGACCTTCCAGCATTCATAAAGGTCACCATCAAAAGCGGTCCAGGCTGCATCCTCTTTTAATTGACTGAAGATATTTCTAAATACATTACATAAATTTTAAACTGATTATTCACAGGAGAATTGCCATGACCACAAAAGCATTCACCTATCACAAATGTCAATGATTAATGCATTTCCAACAGTTTTCTTAATTTAATGTCAATGGGTGTGTTTCTTAGTTTAATGTCAATGGGTGTGTTTCTTAGTTTAATGTCAATAGGTGTGTTTCTTAGTTTAATGTCAATGAGTGTGTTTCTTAGGTTAATGTCAATGTGTGTGAGAAAGGCTAAATGGTTTATACCTTTACCATAAGCCTCCCTATCTAAGGTTAATCATATCCTCAAATTAAGAGAAGATCAGCAACTATGAGTTTTGCATAATACAATATTGATATAGGGTCTATAATCACATGAAAAAAAGAAAAGCCTCTTGAAAAACTAAGTACTTAGAAATTACCCATTTTTGTCACAGTCAGGTACTCCTCCCATGTTTCCATGCAACTCTCCTGGGTCACTCTTGTGCTACAACCTGCTGCATGCTAACACTTCCTGCTTCAAACATCACATCACCATCAGCTAAACGGGGATTGAAGAATACAGTGTTGTAAAAAACACTAAGCCTATATGAGCTATATTGTACACTACAATATGCTGGCAGAACTAATGATTGAGAAGTTGATAATTTTATTTCTTGAGAATCAACTTTGCTGATGAATCATGATTATAAAATTATGTTGATCTGGGACTTTAGTATTCATAGAATTTACCTTAAAATGCCTTTCAGTTCCATATAATTTGCCTAGCCTGGAGAGATGATGATGACAATCCCAGCCAAGTGACATAACTTACCTTCAACTATCAATTATGGCACGTGTATCATTTTAAATACAAGAATATTCCTAAATAACCCCAAAGCCTAATTCTTTTAACCAATAAAATTTCTTATGAAATTATTTATGAATGCTGTAATACAATATGCACTATACTGTACCCTTTTCATGTTTGACTGACAGTGAAACAAGAAAAACTTTATCAGTTTGTTTTTTATTCATAAGCATTACTGCATTGGAATTCACTACAGGTCAAGTGACTACCCAAATAGTGCATCGTAGTTTGACCATACAATAATGCCAAATTACTTCTCATCAACACAAATATTCATCAATTCTATTTAAATATTTGAAGACTGTAATTCTAAGAGCTCATATACAGTACTGTATTTCAAATTTACGCTATCATGGCAGTATACACTTGTTAAGTTTCCTGTACTTTTTGACTACATTAGGTGCAGCATTCCTTCATCAGCTACTTATGGCTTACAATAATAGCAGCATCCATTAATCAGTCACTAATTTGAAATTTTACAAATTTGTTATTTTTACCTTTTTTTTGACTTTCAAACATTTATTTTCTTCTAAGACACCCGTCACCAATTGGCAACACTACTGACTTTAGTGGTGTACCAGTATATTTCACATGCATGAGAACTAAGTCAAAAGCTATACTTTCTTCTGTTATTTCTTTGTGGTCAGATTTTCATCACTTTGTGTGTGATAAATTTCAGCAATTTAATCTGCAGTGACTCCAGATTTGCTGTTCCGTTCTAAATGGTGATAGATAAGTGACCTCTTTAAGGTCTTCCTTTAAAATCATATACTACACTTTGTTTCATTGGTAAATATACCTAGGAAGTATTACAGTACTAAAGTTTACATTCTTGTATACCTAGGAAGTATTTCTAAAGTTTACCTTCATGTATACCTAATAAGTATTTCTAAAGTTTACCTTCTTGTATACCTAGAAAGTATTACTAAAGTTTACCAAAGTTAATAAGCAGATTACATATAATAATTAAAATAATTATTTACTCATTTTAAACCTTTCCTTCCATTTTGCTAAAATATTTTTTCACCTAATAAGCTGCCATGTGTGATCAGAAAACCACTAATTATGATACAATAAATTGTACTGTAAAGACAATATTTAAATATGAAGCATTCTGTAAATTGTTTAAAAATGCATATACTGCAGTGGAATCACTGGAAAATCCAAGCCTAGTAGTATATTACTGACCAGAAATCTGCTCATGTGAGCCAGGATGCTGACAGCTGCTTCCTTTAAGTGGTCAGATAAACTAAAAGCAAACCAAAATTTAATTAAATTTCAGAGTGGGTGAGGCTCAGACTCAGGGCAGAAGAGTCCTAAAACTCACTGGCCAGTGTGCTAACAACATGGCCAGCTGGGTCTAATATGATTCATCTAACTGTGATTTGTTTGCAATCGTGTTATTACAATTTTATGAGCCAAAATTCAATTGTTCTACAATAATCACTTTCAAGGGGAGTGCTTTGATACTAGTGAAGGACTCCTGATCCAAATTATTGGAGCTATCCTCCCCTTCCTCAGACCAAACTAATCACCTTTCTGTTTCCCAGGAGCTGTATGATCCCTACAGGTTTAGTGCATCTCCATTATTATTATAATAATCTGCATCAACTACAGATTGTAACTTAGCCTGGCTGGCTCCATCAAAGCAAGGTTGGGTTAAAGGAGATTGCATAATCAATGTTACTATACTGTAAGATATAACTGATCACTAGTGTGTACTATTGTTGGTGAGGGTCATCAATACTGTGACAAATATCCAAGTACTTTGCTGTTAACATTTTAAGTCAAATATCAAGATTAAAAAAGTTGTAATATATGTTATATTATGTAGCCTATGGGTAAATGCGAAAAAATGAAAAAAATAAATAATGGTCAACTAACATCATCAGTCACTGAAGAACTGCATGGCATGACTCTGGGATAATAAGATCAGAACAGAACAAGAACTGTGTATCCAAGGATGAGTAGACTTAACATTTTTAAGTCTGAAAATAACATGGCTCTATTATAAATATTAATACCTTAAAAACATTTTATGAAAATGCAACTCATTTCATGTCAGTGTTCATTGATGCATCATTTTTATGTGCCTCAAGATATACCCATACACCCATTCCTCATTTTATGTGGTAGACATGTTCCTAGCTGATGGCACATAAAGTGAGCCCAGTTTAACATATAATAGATTGGGATGCATAATGAAACCTTGCTAATTCCACATACTACATATATCATTCTTTCATACTTTGTGAATGTTCATTTCATGTATGTATGAAGGCCTCACATTTTCCATGTTCTAATGTTGTGGTAGAGAGTGAGCTGTTGGCTATCTGGGGGAAAGAGAAGGGTTGTTGGGTGGGCATCCTGGGAGCCATGAAGGTCCCAGCCCTAGCTAAAGGGAGAGAACAGGGATCAGAGGTGTGGTCAGTTGTTACCCCAGGAGGGTGGCCTTTCCTGGACTGGCGGCCATGTCATTCACTGCCTCCTTCACTCCGTCAGCATTACCAGTGGTGGAAGAGGACAGAGGCTCATGTGTCCTGGACATGTTTAGTGGGTGAGGTGCCTGACATGACACAACAACATCCATCACACCACTGCCTTCAACACATGACATATTTAATGCAATATTGGTTAAATATCAAGTGATGCTGTACTCAAATGATTGTATATAAATGAAAACACACAGTGACCATTCCTTCCAATCGCATAAGAATGAATTTTTACTGCATATAGCGGATTCCTGGTAGAAATAGGGTTACAGCATATATGCAAAATCATATATAAAGAACCCACATAAAGTGAGGGACAGGTGTATAAGAAAAATCTAATTGGTATTCTAATTTATTGCCTGCAACTCCAGATTTCTTTATCTAATCCTTAGAGTTAATACTCTGCAGCTGACTGCTTTAAAGTTTGCACTTATCCATAGGTGACACATTGCTGCATATTGGGGAAGTGAGCTTAACATTTGTAATTCAGTGAAGAATAATCTTATTGAATACTGTTTTGAGGGGCTGCATTGGTTCCCGAACATGCATAGAATTGTAAAGCAATATCTAGTCACAAAATAGCTAATACTATAATAATGTATATACATTTTTTACAAAAATATTATTCTTCCTACTACATCAGGGTCTGTTTCACACCATGAACCAAATTTTCTTCAACTGTCAGAACTTAAGATTATTTACTCTTTATCACTGTTAGCCTCAAAGACTGAATCAGACCCTGCTGCCATCAAAAAACTTGATTCACAACACATCATTCTAATGAAGATATATACTACATATACTTTTTTCACCCTATGAATAGAAGCAGTAGCCTCCACAGTTTGAATAAAATGCACCACATGAGAAGTGATCACCCTTAGCACTTCAAAACATGACTTTAGTAACCTACATTATCAGCTTAGAATTGAGCTTGGAGTAAGAACTCGATCAGCATTTTAAAAAGCGAGTTCTGCCCACCAGATACAAAATAAGAAGAGAGGGGTAAGAGTGAGGAGATTCATGGTTTTGTGCCTTAAATATTTAATGTTTTTCTTATAAAAGATTTAACAACTGCAAACATGCTAAGTTATTATATAAAATAATTTTAACAGGAAATTCCTGACATGTCATCATATCTGTAAAGGAAGAGGTAACTGCACATCACAGAAAGCCAGTATTTCATACAAATAAAAACTTAGCCATCTGAACAGTCATATGGCATCATAATTGCTGATCTCCTCACCAATACATCAATATTCTGTAGCTACTCAAAATCAGATTTAGAAACACCCGTCATCTTTGGTACCATAGACAGCATGCTGCCGAGGGGGTAGAAAGGAATCAGTCATGGTGGTCAGAATAAGATAATTTATATAATTTATTTCTTGCTACTATAAGCCAAGCCTCCTTACTAGGTGCACTGGTATAAAATATCGCAGGTCACTACTACAATAATCCATTCCTAATGCATTAGGAGCAATAAAAAATTCTGTACATGTATTATTTTTGATGGTAAAAATTATCCTCATGTTAGTAACCATTCATTGCAAGAATACACTTACAATCAATTTGAAAATCATATTATGTACTACTGGCATCACACTTACATTCAATGTATAAAAATGTTTGCTTCAAAAAAATGACCATCTTACTTACAAAAAAAAAATAAAAAAAAAAAAAGAAAAGAAATTCCTCCATTATTCTTGTAGGATGCTGCATTTTAGTTTGTTTGAAAATATCCTCCACCAGGAAGATACCAGTCCTACCTCAGCAGCAGCTCAACAACTCAGGTCCCACACAGTTTGGCCCTTTGTTGGGACCTCAGACATGTCTACATCCTGTGACATATTAAAATGCTCTAGGATTTCAGACCCATCAATATCCATCAGCCTTTCTTGAAAGACTACAGGCCTGTTTGCATCCTTAACACTGCTAAGAACTTCAGGCTTGTCTGCATCTGAGCCATTCTAACATCAAGACTTTATGGCATGTCTGCATTCTTTAGCCATTTGTATCTCTGCCCATTGAACAAAGTGAGGCTTGAATGTACACTTTGAATGTTTCGCTCTTTGTTCAGGAGTCTGCCTGTTTTAAAGTATTTTTTTTTTTTTAGAAGCCAAAACCCTAGTTTGCATTCAGAACCTGAGACTTTTCTTACTGTCCCATTTCATGACTCCATCTTACCATCATACTTTATCAAAGATAGTTACTACACCAGGGCCACAAGGATAGTTATTACACCAGGGTCACAAGGATAGTTACTACACCAGGGCCACAAGGATAGTTACTACACCAGGGCCACAAGGATAGTTACTACACCAGGGCCACAAGGATAGTTACTACACCAGGGCCACAAGGATAGTTACTACACCAGTGCCACAAGGATAGTTACTACATCAGGGCCACAAGGATATTTACTACAGGGCCACAAGGATAGTTACTACACCAGTGCCACAAGGATAGCTACTACACCAGGGCCACAAGGATAGTTATACACTAAGGCCACAAGGATAGTTACTACACCAGTGCCACAAGGATAGTTACTACACCAGTGCCACAAGGATAGTTACTACACCAATGCCACAAGGATAGTTACTACACCAGTGCCACAAGGATAGTTACTACACCAGTGCTGCAAAGATAGTTACTACACCTGCACCACTAGGATAGTTACTGCACTAAGGCCACAAGAATAGTTACTACACATGGACCACAGAAAGCCATTACATCTGAGCTACAAGGATAATAACTACACCAGGGCCACAAGAATAGTTACTACACCAGGGCCAAAATGATGGTTACTGTACTAAAGCCATAAGTTAGTTATTACAGTAGGGCCACAAGGATAGTTATTACACTAAACTATAAAAATAGTTACTACACTAGGGCCATACAGCATGTTACTACACCTGGGTCACACGAATAGTTACTACACCAGGGCCAAAAGAACAGTTACTACACTAGAACCATAGTTACTACACTAGGGCCACATAGCTAGTTACTACACCAGGATCACAAGAATAGTTACTACACCAGGACCACATGGATAGCTACTAGACCATGGCTGCAAAGATGGTTACTACACCAGGGCCACATGGCTAATCACTGCAGTAGGGCCACAGGATAGTTACTACACCAGAACCATAACATAAGATAAAATAATGAGTTAGAGTTTTCAGTTGCAGCAGCAAATATCAGAATGACTAAGAGGGGAAGAATGGTTCACCCCTCTATTCTGCAAAAACACCCGAAGTACATAGCAGTTACATTTCAACCTTTGATATCTTTTAACCACCATAAAATTTATTCCCGGTATTTACTGCTTGCCCATGGCCTGAATTTCGCATTCGGTTGCTATTCTTATTCTTGAGAGATGTTCTGTGTGGTTTCCGCCACTGTGCTTTATGACCATGATTAATAGTGCTGTTTTCATTAGTACATCGAGGACAGCACTCTTGCTCTTCTTGTACCATAGCTTGGCATCTTAAAGTGGGACAATGCTGGTTGGCACATGTGATATTGCTATCCTGTTAAAAGACAAAGAAACCATTACTTAAATATAATTATGTATTTAATGCTAAAAGAGCAGGTCAAAGAAATATCTGTTGATAATTTTTATAAGTTGAAGTTACAGTCTTTACGGTGGCTTAGTGCTTAAACCATACCCCCGGCCGGGATTGAACCCGCGGTCATAGAGTCTCAAAACTCCAGCCCGTCGCGTTAGTGCTTATACAGTGTCCCTGAAAGCTTTGGTAATTTGATGTACAATGCCTGATCTGTTAAACGACATGTGGAGAGATGTTGCAGTTTATCAGGCTATCACTGGACCACCACAATGTCTATACTTCTTAGAAAGACAACTGGGAAATACATGGGGCCACAGGGGTGTGTCTTTGGTCCCCTGCTCTTCCTCTTATACATCAATGATCTTCTCAATGTATCACAACACCTGATGACATGACTTACGTCATCTCCCACCAAAATCTTGCCATGCTCAACACCATTGTTAACGAGGAATTACTTAAAATATCTACAAGAATGACAGCCAATAAACTTACACTCAACACTGATAAAACCTTCTACATTATGTTTGGCAACAGAGCAGATGATGCACAATTAAACATTAAGATCGACAACACTCTTATTGCTAAACATAATGAGGACGAATTCCTGGGCCTACACCTCAACAGCAACCTGAAATTTAGCACCTATATCCAACACATAACAAAAAAAGTATCCAAAACTGGTGGGATCCTTTCTAAGACACGTTACTATGTACCACAATCAGCCCTACTCACACTATATATACTATTCACTCATCTATCCTTACCTCACATATGCCATTTGTGCTTGGGGATCAACAGCAGTAACTCACCTAAAGCCAATAACCCAACAAAAAGCCGCAGTAAGAATTATCACGCAACACCCCCCCCCCTGCTCTTCAAAGACCTAAACTTACTGTTCAGAACATCCACACTTACTACTCTGCACTCTACATCTACAGAACCATAAATTCCAACTGTAACACTTTCATGATAGTTGTGACAGGACCCATAGACATAATACCAGACACAAACATCTCTTTGATATTCCCCGTGTCTGGCTAAGTCTATACAAAAATTCAATGTACATAAAAGGACTTAAAATCTGGAACTCCCTGCCTGAAAACTCTAGAACTGCAGACACAACCACCATTTTCAAAAGTACCATTAAAAAACATCTTGCCTCCCTTACACACCCCACTAGTAGCTAACCACATGAAAACTCCTTTATCTTGCAAATATCCAAAGCACAATACACTTATTGATATATCTGTGACTCCCCCTAATTTACACATGACTGTAAACATAAAATTCTGAATACACCTATTGCTTCATAATTCTTAAGCTAGTCATAAGTTTGCCTAAGACACTCCAATATAGAAACTGTATCATACCAAATCGAGACCATTTCCATTAATAGATAAACTAATTGTTAAGTAGACAGTAGACCACGACATCCTACTCCACAAACTTGACTATTACGGTATAAGAGGCCATGCGCTTGCTTATTTCAAATCTTACCTTACTAATAGGTATCAGTATGTCACCATTAAAGACACAGCATAAACAACAGGGCCACTTGATACTGGAGTTCCGCAGGGAAGTGTCCTTGGTCCCCTGCTCTTCCTCATATACATCAATGATCTTCCAAACGTATCCCAACACCTGAAACCCATTCTCTTTGCTGACGACACGACTTATGTCATCTCTCACCCTAATCTTGCCACCCTCAACACCATTGTTAACGAGGAGCTGATCAAAATATCGACTTGGATGACAGCCAATAAACTTACGCTTAACACTGACAAAACCTACTATATTATGTTTGGTAGCAGAGCAGGAGATGCACAAACTAACATTAGGATCGACAACACCCTAATTACCAGACATAATGAGGGCAAATTCCTAGGCCTATACCTTGACAACCTGAATTTCAGCACCCATATCCAACACATAACCAAAAAAGTATCCAAAATGGTTGGGATCCTCTCAAAGATACGATACTACATGCCGCAAACTGCCCTTATCACACTATACCATTCACTTATATATCCATACCTCACCTATGCTATTTGTGCTTGGGGATCAACTGCAGCAACACACCTAAAGCCAATAATAACCCAACAAAAAGCTGCAGTAAGAATAATCACTAAATCCCATCCCTGGCAACACCCCCCCCCACTTTCATAGATCTAAACTTACTCCCTGTTCAGTACATCCACACTTACTACTGTGCAATCAACATCTACAGGACCTTAAACTCCAATATCAACCTTGACCTAAAACGCTTTCTTGATAGTTGTGACAGAACCCACAGGCATAACACCAGACACAAACATCTCTACGATATTCCCCGTGTCCGACTAAACCTTTACAAAAATTCAATGTACGTCAAAGGCCCTAAAATCTGGAAACCCTACCTGAGAACTCTAGAAACTGCAGACACATTCATCCCCTTCAAAACTACCATTAGAAAACATTTATCTCCCTGATACACCCATCAACTAACTACACGAATACCCCCTGGTGGTTCACACTTACACTCACTCACTCATTTGACCATAAACAGAAATATTAATCTCAATCTTAAAATAATGAATCCTATGATTACTCAATACTGAAACTATGTACTGTGCCAAAACAAAAGCATTCACATTGCTAAACTCACAAACTAGTTTTTAGTCACTTAGCCATAATACCAACTTACCTCATAATTTGTAATATTTTAAAATAAAAAATTAAACTAAGTCTGCCCGAAATGCCTAGCCATGCTAGGCGTTCTAGTGGTACACTCTGTAATCATTATTTAACTACATGTAAACCACACAACAACCAAATTCTGTAAATTCAACATTGTAATCTTTATAGAGAATAAACTTTGAATTTGAATTTGAATTTGACTGTCCCAGGCCCCTTTCCTTAACTGTCATTCTATGTCGCAAAAAATTCGAAAAAAAAACTTACCAAAATGTTAGGATTATTTTACTGAGTGTTTTAAGCCTAAAAAATTTTTTTTGCCATCAGTACTTACCAAGATACAGAGGCGCAAAGTTGGCAGAAAATGAGTGGCGTATGGCAACAGCGGCGAATGCTGCCCACTCGGTATTATTTTATTTACTCCAATTCGATGGTTTCTTGTATTTTCCAATATTTTTCTTTTCCAAGTAACTTATGTGGCCTGTGAGACCAAAGTAAGGTGCATTGTTCAAATATACACTCATTGTTTACAACACAATAACTGAACAAACGTTATCACTATTAGATTGTGTACAAAACTTGTTTACACAAACAAACAATGCAAAAAATTGTTTATTACTATTGTTCCATAATATATATACATATGTACAGTCACTGAACACTTTCCTAGAATTGCTGCAGCTTGTGAAACTCTTTGAAACATGGATATATGCTGAGTGGCACGTGACACTCATCACACATATAATAACGACGTGTCTCTGCGCTGGTTTTGTGGACGCGTTTTGTGTATGTACACTACAAAACACTTCTTTCAGCATTTTTCTTGAAAGCAGTAGGAGGGCGTTGTATGGGGTAGTGATTACCAGGTCTCAAACGTGAGGGCGTGTGTTGGCGCTGGTTCTATTGCTAGGTGTTTTGCTCCTTGGTGCTTGGCGATTATTGTCTGATGACTGACAAACAAATTCACCATATTTTGTAGTTTGTTGTTGGTCCTCAACTTGAATTTGTTATAAGCATTTAGCAATGGAAATATTAAGAAGATGGAAAAAAAGTTTATTATACCACCTTATAACTCCTTGCGTACACAATCAGCAACTGAATCCCAATCTGAAGTCACATTTGTCACACTGAGTGCATTACTGAGGTTGTATAGTCCATGGACAGCTGCTGCGTTTTAGAATGGCGTTCACTGGGTTTCTGTATTGTGCCTGCCAGTGTGTGCCATTCGTTTTCGGTGATGAACTGATGTCAACAATGTGACATCACGTTTGTCATGCCACCGAATTGCCATGATGTCACTGGCAGCAAAAGCTTGCACCTCACTCTGCGAGTGCCAGCGACCAAACCTTGGCATATGTTTATGTGTACCATGCACTGTGCCACACACGTTGTCAGGTTCACTCGCAAGAAATCGAGTATGGGGGCTTGTGTACCAGTTATCAGTGTAGTATAATTGATGCCCCTTATACCAAGGTTATGGTTCCACCATTGTTCAACCTCATCTCTAGAGGAAACCAATAACTTCATGGGTGTCTCTCTATTATTACTGCCAGTGTACAAAATGATATACAATCGAGACCACTTTTGCCCAATCACACAGTACAAATAACTTTTTAATGCAAAGGTTTCCGCTTGCTTGGTAATATTGCTTGAATGAGTCTCCTTTGAATAAAATCAGAATCGTACAATGGGACAGCTTCCTGAAGGGTTAAAAAACATGGAGTACTTCTGTTTCAGGTACATAAACACATTATTATTATAATCAAGGGGGAAGCGCTAAACCCGGAGGATTATACAGCGCCTGGGGGGGGATGTGGAAGGCATTCAGGCTTAATTCGGGGAACTGGAGCACAGATCCAATTCCCTAAATCAAGAGCCCCTCACCAACATCAAGGAACCTTCCTTGAGGGACATAAACAAATTTTGATCCTTATAAAACCTGGTCGCTTCTGTCAGGCCTTGTTTTGTCTGAAAAGTGTAACATACGTAAACAGTATCAAAAAACGATTCACACCTATAATGTTTCTAAAACCTGGGGTTGAAATCAGGCGTTCTGTTGCCCAGTATGTGGTGACAGTTGTTGCTTATACACATGTGGCATAAGCATTATTGTCGGCAAAAAAAAAACAGGTACATCTCTGCAACGGTAGTGTCCTTCCATGGTTGTAGGCCGTGATCTTGGTGAGAGAAATTGTATTTGCCATGGTTGTAATCATATATGTGTTGGTTCCCCTGACCAATAATGTCCATCAGGGGTTCTATCAAGAATAACTGTAGCACTTCCAGTT